AAATGGTTTTAGTTGAAGTTTTATTCTACGTGTTAAGCACACTGCCATTTTCAATCTATCTTGTTTATAATATGATTACAAGTAGTGCGACCAAATCAAAAGATCGAAAACAAATCGAATCGTTTATTAATTATATGACTCAATCATTTCTAATGTATTTCAACACGGCTCTCCCGTTTTATATTTATATTTTGACATCTCCATCATTTAGAAAACAAACAAGAAAACTTCTTTGGAAAGTTTATGCTTTCAGTACTGGAAAACCAATGCGAACGGAAGAATCAGGAAACACGATGATAGCGGCGAAATAACTTTCTGCTTTGTTTTTGTTTTCATGCACAAATTCAAATAAAATGAACTGACACTCATTTGTGAAAGAATATTTCAAAGTTGAACACCAATGGTGAAGGAGATGATCGTCAATTAGATTTAGAAGAGCAGTAAAGATACCTTCAAGATGCTTCACCATTTTTCCTTTTGACACAATTTGCTCTGGAAATATAACCAACTACAATGATAAACTGAGCGAGTAGTATGACCATCATCCTCAGTTGAATATTCATATTACACTACTTAAATTGTTCGACATTTCTTTTTTCCTTTTCCTAATATATCTGACACGCAATTACAAAAGAAGGCGATTAATCGAAGAAAATTTGACTCTTGTGCGTTCTTATGCAGTAACACCACACTTCTTTTACCTATATTTCTTCTATGTTCACAAGGAAATGTTCTACTTGCATCTTTTTATTAATAATCATGTGGTTAGCCGTTTTTTTCGAGTGAACATTTGATTGGTGGGGAGTTTTAATCGAAGCGCCACCGAACAATGTTAAGAGATTGTTTCCTGCTGATCGAAAGAGAACAGCGAAGATTCCATTTGCAATTTGTTCACTCCCACAGACCGAAATTCTCATGTTGGTAAGACGAACATTCAAATCCTTAATTTAATCTTTCGATTTAACAATTAGGTTGAAGGAAATGCTGTAGCAGGTGATATCAAATCTATGGACGAATCGTTCAAAAACGCTTTTCATAAGCACAGTAAACAAATCCAACGAGTTCCTTGTGCTCCGATTGGAACTTATTTATCTGCTATGGGAATCACACATATCGATTTCTTTAGTCTGGATGTTGAAGGTGCAGAATTATCGGTTTTGCTTACAATGGATTGGAATATTCATGTACATTATCTTCTGATAGAAAATAGTTCGAAAATACCGAATATAACGGATCTTTTACAAAATCGTGGATTTCGAGTCCAAGAATTTCGACATTGTACTCCGGGACCTGGATGTACGAGTAATACTTTATTCGTTAACGATAAATATGAAAAACCGGATTTTTCATCGATTCGTTTAGCAAATATTTCTTGCGATAGATAAAATTGAAAAATCTTTCCTTCGTAAAACTGTGTCGATTTCAGTCATACCAAAAAGTCTGTTGTATTCTTCAAAGCAATTGATAATTGTTTGCCCGACATCGAGAAGAGCTTTACACAATGAATCGAATTATGTGGAATTGAGAATAATCATTGATTTGACCATGTAAATGCAATAAAAGCATCTTTTGTGTACATATTCGCCGAGAACATATCATTTGAAGTTTGATCAATTAGAATTACTGCATATGTATCTTGATTACGCAATGAAACGACAATAGAAGTGCACATTTTCTATGCTCAATGATCATTTGCTCGTGTTATCTTCCATGTTAATCGTCTATTGCCAAATAGTACATATAGAATTTTCACTGAACAAATAGCTTATTTCTTCATGAAAGTCAATATTTTCGATTGATTTAGTATACCTTACATTATTGTATGTCTCTATTTGCACGTGTTTTGAATGAAGAAGGACAACACTTACTGAAATGCAAAGAAGTTTTTTGTCCCCTTCACCTTCGTGTTTTGTCGTATGATACGCTATTGAAGTGTGGGTTTTTCCTTGTTTTTTTTTTTAAATTTTTCATACGGAGTACTTTCCTATGTATAGAATTTCGAAGAGATCCAATTGTGTGCATTTAGTGATAAACTCAGTTCATATAGATTTACGAAATTAACAGGCGAATTTGTTAATATGTTGTCGACTGATCAAAATGTTGATGTTTATCTATTATTCAAAGAAGACTTGCTGATTCAACCCAGCAAATGAATTCTTATATAGATTTCATATTATCACGAGTGAAAACATGCCGTGGTTATCGAAATTTAGAGCCAAAGCACAAAATCCCATGGACATAAATCATCTCTTTTACTTCGTATTTAGTATCACTAATCTCAACTGAAAGGAGAAGAATTCGTTCTACTTATCGAAAAAGTTTTTTCCTCTTACAGAAAGTCGGTTTTATCGTACTCAAAGCAATCGATTCGAATTACATAAGGGAAAAAGCCCGTCTTCAATACAGACGTCGATCAACAATGATGAAAAACATCAAAGTTTGAAAAGAGGATTTTGGAATATTTATCCCATATTATTTCGATCATAAACAGAGAATAAACTTAAATACACAGGGAATATTCACACAAAAAGCAAATATATGATAATTATTAGCTGACAAATTTGATTTTAAGAAGTTTTTGTTGAATGGAATAAAACCATAAATACTGGATTCATATATAAATACTATCGAGCGACAGTCCAAATACATGAAAATCGTTTCAACAAATGGCGAATTCGAACACACAAGATTTGATTGTCGATGGTGCAGAATTGAGTCATCCGATCACCATCAAACGTGGTAAAACATCACGTATCCATCAAGTTGTTGCGTATCCAACGCAGTTAACACGAAAAACGACCAACGGTTTTGCAGATGGGTCAACGACGCCAGACGACAAAACAATCAAAAAGTGTAGATGGCATACGGCTGGTATCATCCGATTTCATCTGAACCCCGAAACGAATAAAATCTACGAGGCTCGGCCAAGTTTGCACGAACTCGAAATCACACTTGAATGCCTTCTCGAAGAAACTCATAAAGAACAATTGGCCAAACGAGCTGAACAAATCTATGGACTAGAATTTTCAGCAGATAATTTTGTGATTTGTCCATTTCAAACCTTTATGGCACAATTAACAGTTCCCATGGACGGTGTTCCGAAAACATACTATGGTNATTTCTGTACAAACAAAACGCATTTTTTCATTAATGTAAATGAAAATACGAATAAAACGAAGACAAACATGAATGTGGTCAAGTTAATTCGTGTCTCATCTCTTGTTTTATGATTAGGGATGCACCAATTGTTGTTTTTAGGTGATAGAAATGCCTCATTTCTGATGTGAAGAGCCACCGATTCTTCGGTATAATCTATCGAACTTTGCTTGCTCTATCCGATGAAATCGAAACATTGCCGATTCTTTCCTAAAAATATGGAAGAATTGTTCGAAATCCCATGTTTTTGCGCAGATATATTTAGTAACTTTCGAAAACAAAATACTGAATTTTTGTAAAAAAACAATTGAATTGTTTCTCCGTATTCAAAACTGTTAGATCAATTTGTCTCACATTTGCGACAGAACAAAAGTATCTTTTTTCCACAGTCGAGGGTTAAGTGAGTCGACACACGACGAGCGCTACTTGTTATTAATAATCATCATATGGTTGGCCGTATTTTTCGTGTATAGTCTTCGGAAAATTGCAATCGAATACTAGTAGATCGGAATCGAGAGAGTTTTCTTTATCAAATACTACGGAAAATCGCTTCAATCCGTTGCGTCTTCGTCACTTATATTTGGAGTTGCCCATGTCCGAGTTTTCAGAGTAGATCAGGTTATTATTCACAATGTGGCGAAGACATCGAATTGCATAAAACAACCTTCAAAGAGAATCTTACGTCGGAAAATCCCGGCATATTTGTGGAAAATGGCGCTTTAGATGGAATTACTTATAGTAATACATTATTTTTCGAGCGAATATTTGATTGGCGGGGAGTGTTGATCGAAGCGCAACCGGAAAATGTTAAGAGATTGTTTCCTGCTGATCGAAAGAGAACAGCGAAGATTCCAGTTGCAATTTGTTCACTCCCACAGACCGAAATTCTCATGTTGGTAAGACGAACATTCAAATCCTTAATTTAATCTTTCGATTTAACAATTAGGGTGAAGGAAATGCTTTAGCTGGTGATATCAAATCTATGGACGAATCGTTCAAAAAAGCTTTTTATAAGCACAGTAAACAAATCCAACGAGTTCCTTGTATGTTCCAATTGGAACTTATTTATCTGCTATTGGAATTACACATATCGATTTCTTTAATCTGGATGTCGTAGGTGCAGAATTATCGGTTTTGCTTACAATGGATTGGAATATTCATGTACATTCTCTTCTGATAGAAAATAGTTCGAAAATACCGAATATAACGGATCTTTTACAAAATCATGGATTTCGAATCCAAGAATTTCGACATTGTACTCCGGGACCTGGATGTGCCAGTAATACTTTATTTGTTAATGAGAAATATGAAAAACCGGATTTTTCATCGATTTGTTTAGCAAATATTTCTTGTGATATATGAATTTGAAAAATCTTTCCTTCGTAAAACTGTCGATTTCATTCGAATAAATGTACGATGATTTATTTCAGTCATACCAAAAGTTCTGTTGTATTCTTGAAAGCAATTGATAATTTTTTGTCCGACATCGAGAAGAACTTTACAAAACGAATCGAATTATGTGGAATTAAGCATAATCAATGATTTGACCATGCAAATACAATAAAAACATCTTTTGTGTACATATTCGCCAAGAACATATCATTTGAAGTTTGATCAATTAGAATTACTGCATATGCATCTTGATTACGTAATGAAACGACAATAGAAGTGAACATTTTCTATGCTGAATGATCATTGGCTCGTGTTATCTCCTATGTTAATCGTCTATTACCAAATAGTACATATAGAATTTTCACTGTACAAATAGCTTATTTCTTCATGAAAGTCAATATTTTCCATTGATTTAGTATACATTACATTATAAACTTTTTCATGTCTTTATTTGCACGCGTTTTGAATGAAGAAGGACAACACACTTACTGAAGTGCAAAGAAGTTTTTTGTCCCCTTCACCTTTCTGTTTTGTCGTATGATACGCCATTGAAGTGTGGGTTTTTCCTTGTTTTTTTAATTTTTCATACGGAGCACTTTCCTATGTATAGAATTTCGAAGAGATTCAATTGTGTGCATTTAGTCATGGGCTCAACTTATAGATTTACGAAATTAACATCCGAATTTATTCATATGTTGTCGACTGATCAAAATATTGATGTTTATCTATTATTCAAAGAAGACTTGCTGATTTAACTCTGCAAATGAATTCTTATGTAGATTTCATATTATCACGAGTGAAAACATGTCGTGGTCATCGAAATTTAGAGCCAAAGCATAAAATTCCATGGACATAAATCATCTTTTTACTTCGTATTTAGTATCACTATTCTCAAATAAAAGGAGAAGAATTCGTTCTACTTATCAAAAAGTTTTTTTCCTCTTACAGAAAGTCAGTTCTATCGTACTCAAAGCAATCGATTCGAATTACACAAGGGAAAAAGCCCATCTTCAATACAGACGTCGATCAACAATGATGAAAAACATCAAAGTTTGAAACGAGGGTTTTGGAATATATTTATCCCATATCATTTCGATCACAAACAGAGAATAAACTTAAATACACAGGGAATATTCACACAAGAAGTAAATATATTATAATTATTAGCTGAGAGATTTGATTTTAAGAAGTTGTTATTGAATGGAATAAAACCATAAATAGTGGATTCATATACGTATAAATACTATCGAGCAACAGTCTAAATACATGAAAATCGTTTCAAAAAATGGCGAATTCGAACACACAAGATTTGATTGTCGATGGTGCAGAATTGAGTCATCCGATCACTATCAAACGTGGTAAAACATCACGTATCCATCAAGTTGTTGCGTATCCAACGCAATTAACACGAAAAACGACCAACGGTTTTGCGGATGGATCAACGACGCCAGACGACAAAACAATCAAAAAGTGTCGATGGCATACGGCTGGTATCATCCGATTTCATCTGAACCCCGAAACGAATCAAATCTACGAGGCTCGGCCAAGTTTGCACGAACTCGAAATCACACTTGAATGCCTTCTCGAAGAAACTCATAAAGAACAATTGGCCAAACGAGCTGAACAAATCTATGGACTAGAATTTTCAGCAGATAATTTTGTGATTTGTCCATTTCAAACCTTTATGGCACAATTAACAGTTCCCATGGACGGTGTTCCGAAAACATACTATGGTGTCTTGGTCGATAACAAAGAATTGCATCCGATGCGAATCATTTTCGAAATCAAAGATTCAAATGAAATCAACGAAATTACCTCGAAACTCGATCACCCACGTGATCATGACATCGTCTTGCGTTACGACTACAGTCTTAGTGGCACGTCGACAGCTCGTGCCGCACTGACGATCAGTGCGGAGGATATCAACAGAATCAATCTGGAAAAGCAAGTGTTCGGAAAGAGTGAAGCCGACAGCATGGTAGTCAGTCGATCAGTCATGGATAAGATCACTGCGAGTGTTAGTACACAATTGCGGGTTGTCGAAGACATCGGAGTTGGTGGATCGTCATTTGGACAAGATTTGATTCAACAGGAAATCGCGCGAGCGATGTCATCGAGTGGTTTTCAAAAATTCAGTATGGATGACATCATGCAAATGAAAAACAATGATATGGAAATCAGTGATGATCTCAAAGCAAATATTATTAACTTAACGTCGTCGAACGAAGCAGATAGTTCAGCAGCAAGTCATCACGACATTGACCAATCATCATCGGCGGATTCGTCAGATGTGTTGCACGAAAAAAGTGACTCGAACCGTAAAGCTGGCGGTCAATCAACGAGTACATCGAGCAGTTTTGGATTGAATGCAACGATAGCAGGATTCGGTGGTGGATTCAATACGAGTAGTTCCAATTCTCAATCGACGAATTTCGATAACGCGAATAGTTCGGCGAATAAAGATCATGAAATATTCTCGAACGAACAATCCAAATTGAAGGACACCTCCGCGAGTAATTCAAGTTCGTCATCGAAAAGCAAAACTGTTCAAGGTGAAATTCGACAAGTAAAGAATATTGATGCAGCGATTGTTCGTCGATCAGAAATCTCCAAAGGTTTTACAATTTCATTGCAAAGATTTCATCATCAATTGGCAACGACGAGTATCAAAGGTCGATTGACAACCAAAGCAGACACGGAGATGTTGGAAGATATTCAAGCGAAAGAGCGAGCTGAACGAGAAAAACAAGCCAAACGAGAAGAAGAGGAAAACCATGCTAAGGAAAGAGCACTTCGTCAGGAATTAGGTAAGGGAACTAAATGATGAAGGTTTTTACGACTCGTGGTTTTTAGAACTAACGCCGCAGCAAATCGATGATCTTCTACATGAAATCGATAGTCTAGATGAAGACAAACTAAAAGAAATGTATGAAGAATTCGTCGTACTGTGGTGAGTGAAAAAAAAACTGATTCATTCATTCGATTGTATTCATTCTTCTCGTTTTAGTCCGAATGGAAAAATGACGAGAGAAACTTTTACTAGTTGCTTTCAAAAATTACATCCCACGTAAGTTCGGATCGATATATTTCTTTTCAAACATGTTTTCTTGTGATTGTAGTGGAAAGGTGAATAATTACTGTCGCTATGCATTCGGCGTATTCGACTCAGACAACACCGGAGCGATGAATTTTACAGAATATGTCAAAGCGATGCATGCACATGAATCCGATGATGTCGAAGAAAGTCTTCGTATGGTATGGAGAAGTTTCTTTTGGAAAAACATCTGAGAAAAATTCTGTTTTGTATAGGCTTTCGATGTGTTCGATTATGATAAATCGGGGAAAATTGATCAGAAAGAAATACTTCATATGTTAACGGCAACAGGTGATCTTCTCGGTCAATCGTTAGAAGCAGCGAATGCGAAAGTTCTCGCAAAGAAGATTTTGGATGCTTGCGATAAACAACGAAATGGCAAAATTACAAAAGAGGAATTCGTTAATGGGTAAAAGCATCTTTCCTGGAACTCTTTATATAATATTACATCGTTGTTTTTTAGCTGCAAGAATAAGAAAGACTACTATCAACTGTTAATACCAAATTCTGAAAAAAGTAAAGTGTCTTCGATAAAGCAGAGAATGAATCGGAAGTTTGTATTTTAGTTGCCACAGCTCTCGATCCAAACTATGAAGGAGATTTAGACGACGGGAAAAAATGTGGACAAGGTGTTTACACTTGGCCCGATGGTCGTCGATATAAAGGTCAGTGGCAAGATGATAAACAACACGGAGAAGGTGTTTTCACCTGGCCCAACGGCGATGAACACAGCGGAGAATGGAAGGATGATAAACGGCATGGAAAAGGTACGTTTACGTGGTCAGATGGTCGTCGCTACGAAGGTAATTGGGTGGATAACGTTAAAAGTGGAGAAGGTATCGAAGTTACAACTGATGATGACCGGTATGAAGGCGAATGGAAAAACGATAAGAAACATGGAAAAGGTGTTTACATCTGGTCTGATGGTCGGCGCTTCGAAGGACAATGGAAAGATGATAAACAAGGAAGCGATGGTGTTTATATTGATCCCGACGGTAGTCGTTATGAAGGTGAAATGAAAAACGGTATGAAAGATGGAAAAGGTATTGAAATAGACGAAGATGGTGATCGATATGAAGGACAATGGAAAAATAATCAGAAACATGGATATGGGACTTTGACTATGAGTAATGGATATAAATATGAAGGTAATTGGGAAAACGACGAGAAGAATGGAAAAGGTACTGTAATAGACGAAGATGGTGATCGATATGAAGGAGATTGGGATGATGGTTCCAGACAAGGCAAAGGAACGGAAACTAAGAAGAATGGTGATCGATATGAGGGTGATTGGGATGACGATTCCAAACATGGCAAAGGAACAGAAACGAAGAAAAATGGTGATCGATACGAAGGAGATTGGGTGAAGGATATTCGACAGGGCAAAGGAACGGAAACGAAGAAAAATGGTGATCGATATGAAGGAGATTGGGACAACAATGAAAGAAATGGAGAAGGAACTGAGACTTTAGCTGATGGACAAAAGTATTCTGGAAGATGGAAGAAGAATCGAAAACATGGAAAAGGCGTTCAATATTACGGTAATAATCTGAAATTCGAAGGCGAATGGAAAAATGGAGAAAGAAATGCCGAAGGTCGTTTAACCTTGCCAACTGGAATGATTTACACAGGACATATCAGTGATGACTTCATTGAACAAGCAAAAAATAATCGTGCGCAATGTGGTCGAGTTCAATGGACTTATTATTCATCTTAATAAACTACTGCACATTGCTCGATTCCAATTTTTCATAAGGCTCGCTTTTTCATAAAACATAGACGCACAATATATTTTAAATAAATTACAATTTTTAAGTAATAAATGTAGAAAAGAAGTCAGTTGCTCTAGTTTTTAATTTCCACATGTTTTCAATAGCAGAGATTGAGATGAAATGATGTTTTTTTGTTTGATTATATTCGATAGTTTCATCGGAATAACACAACGATACAATTAAATTATCGAGCGAGCAAAAAGCAAGGTAGTCTGAGTTTTGTTTCGTCTTATTCAATATCTCTAACACGCCCACCGAGGACAACAAAACAACGGATATATCCCACTTTTCGATGAAATCAGGTCGGTTCAATAATCACGTTATCCAGATTGAATTCAACCATTTCTGAGCTCAAAAACTGATGAAGGGCATAAAGTATCGGAAACAACAATGAGCGCGAAGTTCGTATCTTTGTCTTATTTGATAGCGTATGTCACAGTTTACAACTTCAGAATTTCAAAAATCTAAGGAGTATAATGATGACCTAAAGTCTATTTTTATCTTTAAGACACAAGAAGTACAAGTGACTTTATGATTTCCCGAGTATGGCTCGACAAGGCTCTATACATATGTTCGTAGTTTTATATAAGTCATATTGGGACCTGAAAATATAGAATATCATTCATGAAATCATGAGTTATTCTATTTTTGATGAAGTGAAAAGAAGAAAACGATGACTTACTTTACACAAAGTCAGTCATTGAACAGCTGGTGTTCTTAAAGAGCATATTGTCAATGAATGAAACTCTACATGTAACTGATCGACTTTTTCATTCTATTTATAACGTGGCGAGGTTAACTCACATGGCGTTCGTTTTAATGGATTTCTTATCTGGTACTTTTCAATGACAAGTCAATGGTCATATATCGAATTATTTTATAGACATATGAAACACGCGCTTGAACTATATGATTTGGTGAACTCAACATTGAATTGTAGAATTCCGCTTCATAAGTATTTGCACAATGGTATGAAATAGTCGATTAGAGAATACTTACATATTTCGCAGATCGTCAATAAATGCAGAAACATGATTAAAATTTTATCTGATGCATTTTTTATTCATACACTTATTTTGATGATCACTGTTTAAACTCTATTAACATGACTAAAATAACACCGACGAACGCAGAGAATACCGATACTAATAATGTAATATCTGTGCAATCGGACGATCAAACCAACTTTTCTCTCATTTTTAATAGTTTCCTTCAAGTGACAATGACACAATTGAACCATCAATTGATCGAATAGCAAGGTTGCACCTATTTCCTTTTTCGCATCGAATAAAAGCTTGAAGAAGGTATTTGCTTCAGATTTCGAATTATACGAAAACGAGCATTACTGGTGTCATGTCTGATCGTGGTAATAGGTTTGACTGCAGTAACAATTGCTCTTCGAATAAAACCCTTAACGACAAAAAACTCAGATGCAGTGGATGATCCATCAAAACAAACACCCAATACATTCAGTACAGCATCAACAACAAGTACACCAGGTAATCGTTTAGTCGAAAGACAAATGAGATTTGAGCACGATGACTTATGCACAGAAATATCTTTTCTTTGATTTCAGGTGTACTATCACCTCTTTGCACTGACAATAAAGATAAAAGTTTATTTGACAACGAGTTTCTGTATTCGCCGACGTCACAAACATATGCAGCTGGCTTATTGAATGGTCAGTTCGGTATCTATAGAGCATACAAGTATGGAAATGTCACTTCATCTTCAATCTGGCTTGCAAATCAAAAATTAATACTGGGAATCGAACTTAAACTTCAAAGAGATCGTAGTCTGCATGTCTATTCATCTAATGAAGCAATATGGGGTAGTGGCACTCATAATGGAGGTAAGGGAGGACCGTTCTGCTTGGTAATATCGGATATGGGTCATTTACGGTGGATTAATGCGAAGAAAGAAATTCTCTGGGAAGCGAAGGGACTCTGATATAAACGAACAAATATATGTTGTCTGCAATAATTCATAATACAAGAAAAATAAAACACTCGTAGTTGATGTGCTTTGCAAAATATTTCATCAGATTTTTCTCCCCAATGACAAATAATGTACAAAGATGCGGAGTGACAGATTAATCTATTGAAAATAGTCACGAGGAGAGAATGTATGTTTGAACTTCACAGTTTTTGTTTCGAACTTCATCGATAGAATTTTACTTCGTCGGCAGCGAAAAGACAAAATCATTCTGCATAAGACTTAACTGGCTTTTTTTATTATGAGATAATACAGATGTAACACATTGAGTGCAACTCACAATTTACGAATACAAAACGCATAAGTTTATTGTTAATTTGCTGAACATTGACACCAGGTGTCTCATTTTGGATGGTAGGGTTAGTCACCTCATGGTTTCCTGCTGCAGTCATGTAGGAACTATTGTAGATGTTGAATCGTTCTATAAATCATTCTTAACCCTATAGAAATACAATCATTGATTTTTCTTCTGTAATCGAAGTGAAAAGGTGAAAACGACCACTAACCTGACACGGAATAACTTGTTGAACACGCTGGTGTTCTTTCAACTCATTCGCAATGAATGGTAGTGTATGTACATAGTGGACTTTGTCGTTCTATTTATAACACTGTTCGATGATAACCTTCAATTCTCATTCGTTCGAATGTGAATTTTATCTTGCATATGTTCTTCTTCTCGATGATAAGAGTGAATTACTTGCACTATATACTTCTCATCGTTATGGTGATGACTTTAGAATACGTAGTAAATGAATCAGCTATTGTCAGAAAAAGGACCTGTATCAGGATTATTTGGTTGAGAAAGAAGCCGATAGTCAACACACTGAGATCGACGGATTTCAATCACCATCAAGATGATATTTTCGATCAAAGCAGACATTAGCTGATGAAAAGAGACTTTTACTGGAATTGAAGGAAAATCATCGATGGACCAGTGATTAACAGAAGATCCTGTCGAACAGTTCTTCGGGGAAAACTATTTTAACATCAATTATCAGATAAAACAGATTCCGACAAGAATATATCAACGAGAATAGTGCAAAGCATGTGGAAGATATCTCAAATTCAGTTTATTTCGCTCGAAAAATGACTCTTAACCAGTTCATCTTGAATGGAAAAGAATATGCAAACTGGGCAAGTTTTCGCAGCGTTCGATAACAATTTCAAAGTGGTGAAACATTGAATAGCGATCTCTGCCAACAGATGTATGTAATAATGAGCATTTATATGATACTTGCCCATAATTGTTAAGAATATACGATGATTTTTCCCTTTTTTGCCACCAAAATATTCATCATCTTGGATTGAGAAGAAACACAATTTTTGCTATGTGACGTTGTCGTTTCCCTATATCTGCAAGTGTCTCCAAGTATAAAAGCAAACCAAAATGCTTACACTATAGATATAACAGACTAGAATGGGTCCTGAGAACTTCGTATTCTTTTATTTCAAAAAAAGATTTTGCATTCTTTGCAATTTTCAGAAAAGGCTTTCAGTTTAATTTTACTGTTTCATCGTGTATATCTCAGCTAAAGCAGTTTCACTATGAATGAATTCAAGTTGGATTTAACATGCATACAAATTTCATTTCAGTTTGATGCAGTTACAAAAGCTTGTTTTCGAGAAAATGATTTGTATGGACTAAATATATAATCTGAAAGAAAAGCAGGTGTCTTAACTGGTAGTTTTCAATATTAGTGTGTCTACTCTAGTCAGTAATTGTTCGGAGAGTAGTTTGTATCTGTACAACATCTTTAATCAGCATATGTTTCAATAAGATGTATATAAGTTACATACATTATCAATAGAGCACCCTGCTGTTTCAACAAATTTCGAGTCGTTGACATTGTGAACTTCTGTACGAATATTTGCAACACCGTGTTAATCAACTTGATCATCTCGAAATTCGAAACATCGATGCAATTCCACGAAGTCCGAGCTGTTTTTCTAATGTTACTCACCTAATTGTTTCCAATATTTTCATGTTTTTTAGCAGCATAGTTTTAATCGAACTCTTCCATTAAAACAACTAACAAAATTCAATCGCCATTGTCATTGTTTTACTATTTGAAGACATTAGAATTCGATTCAATATTGCTGAACAGGCCAAATCCTCTTTTAGTTGAAGAACATGAAACATTTCAATTTGCATCACAAACAAATAAGATTAAAAATATCATTTTTAAAAACGAAATTACATTAGGTAGGGTCAAATAATGTGTTCATCTTCCCCGTCGGGTGGAATCTTCAACAACTAATTTCTAGCAAGAAGGATTAGAATCAATCATAGAATTTGTTTTATCAGAAATAAATCATCATAATCGTTGTTTTTCATTGATATGTATTTCAAAGCTAAAAGAAGATTTTTTGGTACTAGCGGAAACTTTCATCAATTTAGAAGATCTTCTCTGTGAGTATATTCTGAAACTTAGCGATCGAAGAATTTGCTTATAATGGTAAAATAATATCTGAATCAAGAAATTCTTTGGCAAAAGTAATTTGTAAATTTGTGTTGAATATAGTTTATTAATAATGAATGAAGTAGAGATAGAGACGAAGGGGAAAAGCATATTGTGATAGACAAAAGCTAAAGAGACGCAGAAGCTGAACGTTCCTTATCTTTTTGTTTATTTGATGTTCTCTAATACTTCCATCGACATATTTATTGTGCATTTTCCGATAAGTTTATAATAAACGATGTTTACACGTTCTCAGAGGATGTTTAAAATCAGAATATATTCTCTTTTCTCTTCAGAAAGATAGGATGCAGGGTATGAAATAATAATGTTTGTATTATCAACAGTGAGAGTTCGAAAACCAGCAATTTCGAAAAATATATGTTATAATGATTTAATTGACGCCTGGATTGACTACAAAAATTTCGAGACTTGGCTCAAGCTGCAGTTCAATTTTTCCAAACCAGAATCGAAACTGTGCGTTAATTTTCTCGAACCAAAATATAATACACCCCCATACTTGAATAATATATTTAAGAAATTCTTTGCCGACAAATTCATATGTTTTGCATAAACTGGATATAACTGGCTTACTAACACACAAAAATGCTTTCAACAGCGTTTTTAATAACTCTTCGAGGTATGGCCAGATTGATTTTGCGGTTCCTGACGCTGGTGACACCAATAAACGTTCGATTAGGATCATAATATCCCTATCATTTGAATGCGTGTCAAGGTCTTTTCCTGATTGAAGCAATTTTAAAATATTGCTTTTAATAATGCTGTAATTAGCAGATATATAAGTTTTGGACATATTAGAAAAATATCGAACAACTGCTTAAACCATGCACATGTTTTTGGAATCAGAGTGACAAAAAAAAACACTATCACCAAACAGTTTAAATGCGATATAAATCGAATGCTTGTACGAGTGTTTACGAATCTTCCCAACGGCAACATTGAACGCACGCTTTCGTTCTTCAACGTTGGTAGTATTTCTAAGTTGTTGGAGTAGATCATCAACGATCATATTAGTGCTGTCCAAATATTCCGCAATTCGTGGGATATCTGAGCTAGCAACGATAGAGAGAGGCCATGCATAGAATGACATTTAACAGCTTTGGTATAATAATTGGGTATACGAAGCAAGTATTGGATGTGCTTTTTTGATTGTCGTTGCCGTCGTCAATCAGAGAAATAGAAAAAAACGCTTATTTTCTGGTAAAACATTTCCTTACACTACTACGTATTTTCTACAATTTCCTTGGATATCGTAAAAATAACAAAGGCTTTTCTCCTTTCTTCTATTCTTTTCCGTACTTAGAAACTATCGGTGATTTCTACGACCGAGAAAAAACATTGTTTATACTGCGTGGTTGCTTAATAACGGGTGAGCCGCACTATATTACACTAAATTTTTGGGTCCTTCCATGGGTAGTCAACCACAAAAAACACAAGTTTCTCAAAAATTATTTTTTCATACTTGGTTTTGTAGAGCTTTTCATGGTGAACATTTTTGTAAAAAAAGTTTTCCCTATAGGTCAATTTTTACCTATTTTATAGTCAAAATACGGTAAAAATCGTGAAAAATCATTTGTCATTTTTTCAACCCGGTTTTTCACTATTTTGGCTCTAGCATCGTCTAGAATGGACCAATTTTCAAAAACTTTTTTATCAAAATGATCAGCTCGACGAGCTCTACAAGATAGACTATGTTAAAAAATTTCGACCTTCATTTTTACTACTAGGTTACTAGTTTACTAGTAAAAAAGTTTACTAGTACTGTGAAAAATGGCTACATTCTGGAAGGACCGGCTCTAGCACATCTTGTAGACCAGACTTGACTCTACAAAACCCTATTTTGGTTTCCTTTTTAAAGTCGAAATGGCTGAGATAAACGCGTTGCAAGATTATACACTATATTAAGCGGGAAAATGCATGAGTTTTATGATAAAATAGCTTTGAAATTTTTTCCTTTTTCTACTGAATATGATATGAAAGGTTCATATGCGTAAGAATATATAATCTATGGCTGTTAAAACATACTTAAACATCGCCTAAGACAAGTTTCACGCTACTTTTGCATTTAATACCTATACAATTCATTGATCGTGTCGCCATGCACAATGATTGGATACTAGCGATCAAAAAAATTTACAGATCTATAGTATGTATGATTCATATGTGACTAGTAAATCCATGGATAGATGAGTCATTTTACTGGTGATTTTCACTAAAAACGTGCGGTCGTGTTACACTAAGTTTTAGAATATTTCTCAACATGCCGTACCAAAAGAAAGAATGGTGTTCTCATCCGTCTCATATTAGCCTAACGCGATCTGGCTCGAAGCCATCACATCCTGTCGGTCGAAGAACAATCGATGAACGTGATGCAAAATTGTTGAACACTCACATTATTCTTAATTCTGAATGGGCATCCGTAACAATGCAAGCTGGTGATAAAGTGTGTCAGACGTGCTTCAATACTTTATCTGACCTTATGAAAACATGTCTTGACACAGAACAAGTATTGGTTGAAACTCCAGAGGCACACAATTCTGAACTTCGAACAATAAATACACAATTGAAAAAAGATTCAGCTAAAGAAGAAGTGAATCGTGTGTTTCAAGCACTTAAGATGGAAACTATTCGGGATGAGTAAGTTGATTTCGAGTAATTAGACGAAAATTAACTTGTTTTTGTAGTCGAAGAATTAAACAAATCCGAAATCAAATCGATGACGTCTACCGGCATTTACAAAACTTATGTGATGTGCTCGAAGATAATGATCCACAATTGCATTTACCAAATCCTCATTCACTGGAAATTAATGAATCAAATGACCTATTAAATGGTTTAAAAGAACTGTATAAACAAAGCAGTGAAGAGGAGCAAACTCGTTTGATGACGATTGCTCCGTTAAGTTGGGGCAGAGTTATGCTTTCAAAATGGTTTGGTTGTACTGACCATCATGGAAGACAAGCTCTTCTACTTCGTGAAGAAAAGAATGTTCTTGCTTTTCCCGAATACTCTCGAGGAAATAAATTCCTTGATCAAGTTATTATCGACCTAATAGTGGAATTTTATTTACAAGATGGTATTAGCCGCATGTCGTCGAACACCAAAGATGTAATTAAAATAAAAACTGAACTGGTTACCCTACGATTCATGGAGATGACTGTTTCTGAAGCTTTACGGAAGTTTTACGAGGATTATCCAATGATTAAAGTTGGAAAATCATCTTTCTTTTCGCTGAGACCTCGACAAGTTAAATTACATTGTCCACATGACACATGCATGTGTCATGTTCATGAAAACATGAGTCTTGCGCTGCAAGTAAGTGTCTGCATTGCTATTTACAAAAACAAAATCATCTTGCTCTTTCATAGGCTTACAACAAATATGTTCAAAGGAAATCAAGTGGTTATCCAAGGTTGGAGAAAATTACGCTGTCGAATCTGATAGATTCAGTTGTATGTGACCAGCCGAATGATAACTGTTTCTTGAACTGTTGCAGTCGGTGTAACAGACGGTTACCTTCATCAATTCTCCAGCAACATTTCATTATTGTTGACGAAGATGACGAATGGACATGGTCAATTTGGAAAACAACCAATAAAAAAGTCGATCTTCATCATATTCATGGTTCAATCATGTCATTACTTGGTGAAATTGATGGACAATGGAAGAAATTTTTGACACATAGCTATTTCAATAGAGAACAACGGAGTTACATCAATAATCTTCGGTTATTGTCCAGTGATACATCATATGCTACAGTGCAGATCGATTTTGCCGAAAACTACACCATAATAAGACAACGAGAAGTACAAGCTGCTCATTGGAACAATGTACAAGTTACCATATTTACTGTGCATATAAAAGTCGGAACAACTCATAAAAATATGGCGATCGTTAGTGACTATATGCGCCATGATACAGCTTTCGTCTACTGTGCTCAACGTATAATCGTTGACTTTTTGAAAAAGCATTATCCTCAGATCACCAAGATCAGCTATATAAGGTAATTTTAACGTAAGAGCTTAGTTAAACTGTGTCTTTTTGCTTTTAGTGATGGTGCACCGAGCCATTTTAAAAATCATTCTAACATGATAAACTTGATTCATCATAGAAGCGATTTTAACATTGAAGCGAGTTGGTCATTCTCTGCTAGTGGACACGGTAAAGGACCTTCTGACGGCATAGGAGCTACACTCAAATCAGGTACCAATCGATCTATACTTTCATCGGGTACAATTCTTTCATCTGCTGAAGACTTCTTTAATTTTACGAAGAAAATAAACGACGAAGCTGCTTTGTTGAAAAACTCAAATGGGCCACCAATCAATGTATATTATCTCAATAGTATCACCATCGAGAATGTAAATGAAACATTACTTTCTGATCGGTTTAAACAATTAAATGGTAAGAGATATAGTGTTTCGATACTATGCAGACAGCTTTTCTTCTAGGACGAATCGAAGATATTCGACAAGTTCATCAATTCGATCCCAAAGATGAATTTACTATTTTCTGTCGAAAAACATCATACTCTTTGATTGTCGAAGAGTTCACTCTTCGAACTAATACAACTGATGAACAAAACAAATCTCTCCAACAAATCAAAACAATAGAAGATATCTCAATTGATTATATCGTGATTGTTAATGATGATGAGAAGCATTATCTTGCTAAAGTGATCGATGTGAGAGAATCTGCGGAGGAAGTAATTCTCGAACGTTATGAACCTTGTCTTTCTTTATCATCATATATAAGGTGTTTCAGCAAAGCGAAGACAAATGCAACTATCCCGTACAAAAATATTATTGCATATTTTATTTGTCCGCCAGTATTTGGTAGACGAAATCAACTATCACTGTCGAAAGAACAATTTCTAGATATTCAGAAACTGTATGCGTAAAGTATTGATCTTGATCGAGTCATATAATCATGATTAATCTTGAATACAAAATCATTTTGAACATAATTTCTTTGGTTATCATTTGATAATAACAAACATTTTCCGATCGAACGATTTCTAGCTTCTCATACTTCCGTGGACGGCACCTAGGCGATGTTTGAGTATGTTTTAACAGCCATAGATTATATATTCTTACGCATATGAACCTTTCATATCATATTCACTTGAAAAAGAAAAAATTTCAAAGCTATTTTATCATAAAACTCATGCATTTTCCCGCTTAATATAGTGTATAATCTTGTAACGCGTTTATCTCAGCCATTTCGACTTTAAAAAGGAAGCCAAAATAGGGTTTTGTAGAGTCAAGTCTGGTCTACAAGATGTGCTAGGGCCGGTCCTTCCAGACTGTAGCCATTTTTCACATTACTAGTAAACGTTTTTACTAGTAAACTAGTAACCTAGTAGTAAAAATGATGGTCGACATTTTTTAACATAGTCTGTCTTGTAGAGCTCGTCGAGCTGATCATTTTGCTAAAAAATTTTTTAAAAATTGGCCCATTCTAGACGATGCTAGAACCAAAATAGTGAAAAACCGGGTTGAAAAAATGGCAAATGATTTTTCACGATTTTTACCCTATTTTCGCTATAAAATAGGTAAAAATTGACCTATAGGGGAAACTCTTTTTACAAAAATGTTCACCGTGAAAGGCTCTACAAAACCAAGTATGAGAGAAAAAAATTCAAGACTTTTGTGTTTTTTGTGGTTGGCTACCCATGGAAAGACCCTTCTTTTTGTTTTTCAGAATTTATTTTCGTGATAGTCGTATACTGATACAGAGAGGAAAAGAAAAGAGTAAAAATGAATATTCTTATTCCAATGTGTGGAATTAGTGATTCTTTTAGCAAAGAAAATTATCGCTTTCCGAAACCACTCTGTAAAATCGTCGGAAGACCGATTCTTTTCTGGCTATTAGACCATTTGGATACAAATGTAGACGATATTATATACATTGGTGTAATGGAAACTTTGCAGAATCAGTTTGATTTAACTCAATCGTTGAAAATCGAATATCCACAGCGAATTTTTCAAGTAGTAGTTATTGATTTCGAAACACGAGGGGCGTTAGAAACGTTGTTTATTATGTTGCAATCAATTAATACAGAACGTTTGCTAAGAAAAACAATTTCTTTTGACTGTGATACTGTTTACTTACAGCCTGTTATTGAAAAATTTCGTCGACTGTCAGACCATTTGAACGCCTCTTTCTTTTTCGAAGATAACGATGGTAAACCTATATACTCGTACTTAAAATTGAATGAAAACAATAGACAAGATGGATTTCCTATAGTGGAAAACACATGTGAAAAGATAATGATTTCGAACTGTGCGAATACGGGTGCTTATGCTTTTCGGTCGGCCTCTACTTTGAAACGATATTGTGCACAGTTGTTGGACGAAACATCTGGACAGTATGGCAAATATTACACGACACATATTATTAAAACAATGTTAGATAACCAAGAGCCATTTGTTGGAATTCAGATTGCCGTGACGGATTTTGTTTGTCTTGGAACCCCCGATCAACTAAATCAATTTTTAAGACACCTAAAAGGCGACAAACCCGCAGTAAATATTCGCAAGATGCGGTTTTGTTTTGATTTGGATAACACATTGGTGTCTTACCCCAAAGAGCACGGCAATTACATTTCAGTCGAACCAAAGATAGAGAATATTAAACTAGCACATGAGCTTCACACCGCTGGTCATTATATTATCATTCAAACAGCGCGCCAGATGAAAATTCACAATAACAACGTTGGAGCAGCGGTTGCTGATATCGGACGAATAACATTGGAGACACTATCTAGATTCAATATACCGTATGATGAACTTCTATTTGGAAAAGCATATGCTGATGTATATGTTGACGATTGTGCAATTCATGCGTTGATTGACACATTAAAGGAAATCGGATGGTCGCTTGACAACGCGATACACAATCACAAAGACCAAAAGCAAATAAGGGGCTTTATATCTTCGCGACATTTTCACACAGTTCAGAAGTTAGATAACTTGATAATTAAAAGTGCTTCAACGGAGTATCTTAAGGGTGAAATATATTTTTACCAAAATATCCCAGAGTCGATCAAGGACTTATTTCCACAAAAACATCGTGTTGACGTGAACGAGAATGCTGGCATTTCATCCATAATTCTGGAGCACATTAACGGAACCACTTTTTCACAATTATTGGATTGTGTTCTCCGCGTTTAGATGTTTCATATTGACTGAAGTATGCAACCATAAAATTAAGAAAATCCTTAGAATTTATCCTTGGCGATTCTGCATGTTTCACAAAGTATTCATCCAAACATTCATATATATTAATATGTTGATCATATC